TTCACTCTCATCGACATCATAATGCCATGCAGCTGGAGACTAATGGATGTACATTCATTTTACTATTAAGGAAGAAAATTTGCTACAAAGCAACTTTTTAAATGTACTTCCAAATTAGATATAGATGATTCAGTGATTGTCTCTCTTTTGGGGAGTGGGGGGTGCTAAGGATTGGACCCAGGGCCTTGTGAATGCTAGGAAAGCACTCTGCTACTGAGCTACTCCATAGGCCTCTAGTGACTATCTCTTATTCTGGACTTTGTCCCTGTCTCTGTGGTTTCCATTAATAAAGGTGACTAGAAGTAATGCTTGCTCATATTTGGAAGCTTGAGATCAGATACTGCTGCTGGAAGTGGTTTTGCAGACAGGATCCTAGATGCTGCAGAAAGCAGAAAGGTTGTTGGAAAAAAGTTTCTTTCCATTAGATAATTGTACTGTGAGGTTAATGCCATGAGATGGATCTTATTGAAGGCTTCAAAATTATCTTAAATTTAAAATATGCCACATGTAAATTAAAGATTATAAATACATATACATATATATTTTTTGGTATCAGGGATTAAACTCAAACTCAGAGGCACTTACCTACTGAGCCACATTTCCAGCCCTTCTTCATTTTTTGAGACAGTTGCTTACAGCCTCACTAATTGCTGAGGCTGGCTTTGAACTTGAGATTCTCCTGCCTCAGCCTCCAAAAGCTGCTGAGATTACAGGCATGTGCCATCACACTCAGTTTATAAAAATATTTTTACAAATGCTAAATATCTTTGAATGACAAAAACACACAAAAATCCAGCAATCTTTGAAATCTTAAATCTTTCCACAGACCAATTTTCTTCTGTTTCTTTTGAGAGGAAATTCTTATCAAGTGTTCTATGATAATGTCATTAAAAATGAACACAATCTATACAGATCATGTTTTCATTTAATCTTTTAAACTTTTTTATTTACCTTATCTTTTTAAAACAGTGTTGTACTATATGTAATGTTTTATAATTTTTCATAATGAATGAATTATGTAGAAATTTATTTATTTATACACATGGATCTATTTCAGTCCACATTATTCCACTTAACAGTACAGATATTCTATTAATTATTTACCTATCGATAGACTTACCAGTTCATAATTTTTAGTTATAACAAGTTTCTGCAATTAATATCTCTGTGCAACCATTATACCCTATGAATATTTCCTTAGAATTGAATTAAGTATCATTTTAAAAAACTGTCAAGTGGTTCCATAAAAAGGCCATTCTAGGCCAGGTGTGGTACCTCATGTTTATAATGCCAGCATCTTGGGAGGCTGAGGAAGGAGGATCGCAAGCAACTTAGCAAGACCCTCAGCAACTAAGTGAGACCCTGTCTCAAAATTTTTAAAAAAGTGCTGGAGCTCAATGATAAAGTACACTGGGTTCAATACCAAAAACAAACAAAAAAACTATTCTAATTTATACCACTACCTATTAACCAGAACCACTATTACTGAAGCTGCACTCTGAGCTAAAGTGTTTTTCCTCTCTTCCTTCTTTTCAAATTGTAAGCGTGGCTGTCCCCCCACCCCCACATCTTAACGACTAGCAGACTAGACTAGCAGTTGATACAGTTAAAAGAGTTCCCCTTTCATGCACACTCCCTCTTCCCAGGTTACAGTACTGATTCCAATAAAAAGGTAGTCGTACAAGAGACTGGCTGTGACAGACAGCAGGTATACGGACCTTCAAGTGGCAAACCTTGAAACAACCTTATTGTCTTGGATTCACAGATCCAGGATGACACGGTGACCTCAGAACCACATCACTCACTCACAACCCACATTCTAGAGCTGCCTCATTCCTCAGAACTAATGAACTACTCTGGTGTCCGCCTGCCTGAGACTGAGATAACATCCCCACAAAAGAATCTACATAAACTTTGTCTTGGTATTCAACAAGAACAACCCAGGAGCTAGCTGGTTGTCTTCCAACATGCCAGCTTGTTGCTAAAAACTTCTTCTCCCACCACTGTCTCTTGAGTTATTGGCTCTCTCAGGCAGCAGCAGAAAATCGGGCTTTCACAATAACACAACCATATCCATTTCCCTACATATTCATCAATACCAAGTATTTTCAATCTTTAAAATATATGCCAATTGGGGCTGGGGATGTGGCTCAAGAGGTAGCGCACTCGCCTGGCATGCGTGCAGCCCGGGTTCGATCCTCAGCACCACATACAAATAAAGATGTTGTGTCCGCCGAAAACTAAAAAACAAATATTAAAAATTCAAAAAAAAATGTGCCAATTTGATATAGTTCAGTTGGTAGAGTTCTTACCTCACATGCACAAGGCCTTGAGTTCAAACCCCAGCACCAAAAAAAAAAATCTGCCAATTTAATAAACAAAATATGGGATTTCCCTATTTTAAATCACATCACTTCCCAGATCACTAGTTACATGTTCCCTTGGCAAATCATATTTTTTCTTTATATAAATATCTATATAGAACCTTCATTCGTTCTTTTTAATTTGCAAAATGTTTTTAGTGGTGCTGGGGATTGAACCCAGGGCCTTGTGCATACGAGGCAAGCACTCTTTCAACTGAGCTATATTCCAGCCCCTTAACTTGCAGAAATTTTTATATACTCTGGGTATTAGTTCCTTACTTGGTATAAATGTTGTAAATACATCCTCCTAACGTATCATTATTTTAATTTTATTTATGCTGCCCATTTCATAAAGAAACTTAATTTTTTAAAATTTTAGTCAAATTTATCAAATATTTCTCTTTGTGATTTTTGCATTGTCTGGCTTCCATACCTTGAAATTTAAAAAATCACACACACACACATTTCTTATACTCTTTTCTAACTCTGAGGTATTCAGGAATAGATGACCTGTGAGGTGTTAAGGAAAACAGGAAGAGACTAACAAACCGCTTCTTTGCCACCCCTCCTACTCCAGCTTCTGGACCTGTGAATTACAATTCAGGACCATCTCTAATGCTGCTTCAGGATGGCAGCAGGGAGGGTAAAGCCTAGGCTTGAGGAGCTGCCTTGTGGGTAAAGAGTCAGTAACTGGTTCCTCTGCTGCCTAACCTCAGATGTCACCCACCCCTTACCCAGAGCTAAGACCAGCATCGACTGGGTGCGGCCTTCCTCCAGTGCCTGACAGCATCTGAAACCCCTGGAGGAAAATGAGTTTGCAGTCCAAGATAATATGGTATTTTAATGAGTACAACCATTTCAAAAGAAAAACAATATAATCAACTACAGATTCTGTTAGAAGCAAAAAACAACTAACCAATAATTTAAACAGATTTTTAACTACACTAAATGAAACAAAAGAAAATATTAACATAAAATAAGAACAAGAAAACCCTAAAAAGAACCAAGCAAAAATAATTAGGTTTGAAAAATATAGTTGCTGAAACCAAAATCGGAATATATGGAATCAATTACAGAATGGTTATAGTATATCCATGGAATAAATGTGAAAACTGGAAGGTCAGATTGAGAAATCTCCCAGAAAGAAGGAAAGCACAAATAGATTTAAAACAGACGTACACACACACCCCTACTGAGAATTAAAAATCAAGATAATGTCAATATTTATTTATTTATTTTTTAAAGAGAGAGTGAGAGAGGAGAGAGAGAGATAGAGAGAATTTTTAATATTTATTTTTTAGTTCTCGGCGGACACAACATCTTTGTTGGTATGTGGTGCTTAGGATCGAACCCGGGCCGCACGCATGCCAGGCGAGCGCGCTACCGCTTGAGCCATATCCCCAGCCCCAAGATAATGTCAATATAATGGTGAGGGAGACTATGAGACTAAAAGTTGGGTGTGGTGGTGCACGCCTATAATCTCAATAACTCAGGAGGCTGAGGCAGGAGTCCCAAGTTTCAGGCCAGCCTCTAACATGGTAAGACTTTGTCTCAAAATTAAAAAATGAAAAGGGATGGGGATGTAGCTTAATGGTAAAGCATCCCTGAGTTGAATTCCCAGTACCCTCACCCCAAACAGCTAATGTATAAAACGGTAAAAGGTAACTAAACCAAGCATATTCTTTAGAGACATACAGGTAAGTGACAAATTGCCACAAATGAAATGATAGTGATTGGAAGGTGCAAAAATGGTGTTTTTCTTCAAAATCTTATAGAACTATTTGAACCTTTAAACTATGTCATGTGTAGCTTTTATTAAAATGAACACTAATAAAAAGAAGACAACCCAGAAATCCTAAGGGCTAGACATACCACCACTCCTGCTTATTTAGTTTGTGACTGTGGCTCTGAGGACCAGAAGCACTGTTCATATCACATCTACTAACTGGAAGCAGAGCCTCTTCTTGTGGAAGATACCTGAAGATTCACTGAAGACAGACTGTCCCTTTTAGTGAAAAAAGGACTACTCTGCTTATTAAAAGTGTGAACTTTTTCACTTTCACTCACCTCTAGTGCAAGTCAGGAGTTCACAGAAGTCTCACAGGAATAAGTTTCGACTTCATGTCCCTATTCCCCAACTGCTGGTAACTAAGGTTAGTCCTATGACTCACACAAGGTTTGGCAGGGCCAACCCCTGACTATTGCTCTTGCCCACCTCATTAAAATGACTTTCTCAAACAGCCATCTGCACATCTTCTTTCTCCAAACCTATATAAAAAATAAGCATTTTTCCTTCCATAAATAAATGACTCCTGCTTGCCAATATAAATAATTGATGACCTGCTAAAAACTACAATGCTTCCACATTGAACGTAGACAATACTGCGTGAAGTCAGGATCTTAGCAAATCAACAGCAATACTTGTGCTAGGTTATAGTATTTCCATCCTTTGTAATTACTGCTCTGGCTGTTTCCAAGACAGTATCCAAAGAAAGTCAGACGTTGAATTTTATTTTCTTATTTACAATCTGAGACATAACCACAGATATCCAACATTAAAGCATTTGTTCCTATACCTCGCCTACAGGTCCTAGGCTGAAGCTTTAGGGAAGAAAACAGATCTAGAAGTTAACATACCTTAAGCATATAGTAGAAGGGGAACCATGACAGGAAGAGATCAGAGAAGAATTCAGCAATGCTGAACACACCATACACTACCCAGTAGGTCAGCCACTGGGTATCATCATCCTTGTTAGGACTCTCTATGGCTTTCATTCTGAAAGGTAATACAAGAGAAAACAACATTTAGTAAGATCTCAGAGAAGCATTTACAAATATACTTTCACAGCTTGTTCTCCAGCACCGCTGAGAAACTCAGGCAAACGTATGTATGCACTGCAGCACCAACTGCAAGAGTACAATATAAAGACAATGTGAAGTCAGGAGAATTGTAATCACCACTTGTTCCCAGTCTTTTGGTTACCAGAGAAATCAGCACTAGCCCACACATATCCAGCCTGCTAGAGCTGCCACCATGCCCTACGATGTACTACTAGTGATAGGCTACTAAAGCAACCCCATTCCCAGGTTGGCTCCTGCCACCAAGGATATATCAGGAAGAATTCTCTCATGGTAATTAAGTTCTTTTGCACTTTTTTAAAAAAAAAATATTTACTTTAGTTGTAGATGGACACAATACCTTTATTTTACTTATTTATTTTTATTTTTTTTAAATTAATATTTCATAAGCCATTTTCTTTTTTTTAGTTGATTTTATTTTTTTAAATACATGACAGTGGAATGCATTACAATTCTTATTTATTTTTACATGGTGCTGAGGATTGAACCCAGTGACTCACATATGCTAGACAAGCACCCCACCACTGAGCTACAACCCCAGCCCCCTTATGCATTTTTAATAGCTGACGTACATCATGGGGGCGTAGGAGTTTCTCATAAACAAACTCATGGAACACAGGTTAGGCACTGTTCAAAGTCCACAGCACACTGCATAATAAATAGGTGAAAACCACCCTTACAGTGTCCATTTAGTTCAGACTTCCTTGGGTCCTCAGGCTGTGGACTCTCAGGGTGTGGACTCTCCTCCCCTTGTCAATTAATAACATTTCCACTTAGACAAAATTAATTCAGTGAATGGATGGGAAAACTTAAAAAATAATAATTTTCTTTTACTTTTGAATCACAGGAATTTCCTTCAGTTCTAGGAATATCCATATTCTAAACCTGAAGCTCCAAAACATCTTATACTATCCTAACAGATATCTGTACATTTATCATAACTAAGCTGGACTAAAACCATAAATTGAAAGAAATCTGAACTCTGTTTAGCCTTTAAGAGAGATTAACTACTAAAAAAAACATATGGCTACTCTGCAAAAATCAGCTCCCCAAAGACAGGCTGCTGAATCATGATGAGTCATCCACTAAGAAAGAGCTTGTGAAGTTAATTAGGAGCAGCTGTGTGTGCGCATGTGCCTGTGTGCATGTGACCATGTGCATGTGACCGTGAACATGGTTGTGTTTTTAAAAAGTAACCTATGGGGGAAAGATTACAGCTGAATGAGATGATTGCTAATGTGGAATGGATGAAGAGGCAGAAGTGATGAAGTGAGTGCTGTTTTGAACTTAGAGATTGTGCAAAAGCAGACATGGTGGTACATGCCTATAATCCCAGCAATTTGGGAGGCTGAGGCAGATTCAAGGCCAGCCTCAACAATTTAGCAAGATCCTAAGCAACTTACCAAGACTCCTCCTCAAGATATTTTAAAAAATAAATGTGCCTTGGTTAACCAAGACAATTCCAATGCTGCTTATTCTCACTCAGAAGTATAAGGGACTTTTCACATTCTTACTGTACATGAAGAGTATAGTAAGAATCTGAGATCCCATAAGAAAGTTTTCACAAGGGTTTATCCATAATTTCCTCTTTAGTTTGCTCAGATGAGAAGCAGGAAACCTTCCAGACATCCTGAACCAGTGAACTTTTTGTGGTTTGTCCATCAACATACACAAAAGTCAATACAGCAATTCACAAATCTCTTCCCATTGCATTGTAGCATGGTCTTAAATTATTTCTGTATCTATAGGTTGCCCATCCCCAGCCTACTCTGGAATGTGACCCTAACTGTATTCCTTAGAAAAAATGTCTGATTAGCCCAGCAGTGTTTGAAGACCTCTATTCTGTATCTTGTTATAATTTATATAGTTATGTGTCTGGTTTCCAAAATGAGCTTCCCAAGCCATCCTAACTGATGTCCTCCAAATGTTGTTCCCTGCTGAGAAACAAACCAGTTTTTGCCTCTCACCCAAACTCAGCTCACATCTTCTCCAAAGAAATTATTAGGACATTCCATTAGCTAACAATGGTCCCAGCTAATTAATGTACTCCAATATCTAGCAACTGTTTTACAGGAAAAATAATCTACATTGTATTTACTGCAAATCCTCACCAACTGACAAAGACAAATACCAACATAATTATTTTTCAGCTGTTATTCAACAATTAAAGTGATTTTCAAATATGAACACTACAATTACTAGAAGGAAGGATATAGTTCTGCTTTAAAACTGCCTGGAAATAGAACTCTTATACTACACTAATGATTTAGGATTGAGCTAGAAAAATAGATTCTCTTACTAATAGAGTAAGTGGGGCAGAAATAAACCTTCCAGTGATTTGGTGGTGGGAGGGGCCACACTTTAAAAAAGGGGCAGTGGAATTGTATTTCTGAAATAAATGATCTGAAAATCTTAAAAAAAAAAATTAAATGTGGCTCAGTGGTTAAGCACCCCTGGGTTCAATCCCTGGTACCAAAAAAAAAAAAAACCCAACTTTTCACTTTATTCACTTTAAGCAGAAAAATCACATTAAATGAACTTAAGAAAGCTGATTATAGCATGGTTTGTAGCTTGTAACATGTGAACCAAATCAATATAACAGAAGGCCAAAGGAAAAGCACAGGCAAGTGGGTTAACCAAAGAATGAACATGTGTGAGATTATTTTTCCTTTGTGCTTTATTTGGTTTTGTATGGCTTATCTATTTATACTTAGTTGGGGTTTTAAGTCATGACTATAATAAAAATGTGTTTTTTACATATTCACCCTGGGCAGAGCAGATACATAATTATATTTCACTTAAGGTCTTAAGCTATTCCATGATTAAACTATCAACAATATGAATTCAAAAGTTTCTGTTTGAGTACATTGGAACCCTATATAGGAATACCATAATGGAAGTAAAATAACTCAAAACTGAACACACACATTGATCATAACTTTGTTGAAATCCAAGGAATATGAAAGGAGAAAGGGGAAAAAAAAAGTCATACTAAGCTAAAAAAACTTTTCACAGAACTTCATAATGTTAAAGCATTTAATTATTGTTTTAAACAAAACAGTTTAAAAATGCATCTCCAGTATCCTAACATCATAAGCCAATAGAAGAAAGACACTAAGAGATAGTCTAGCCACTCGGGAACCTGAGATGCAGCAAGGGGAGGTGCTAGGCTGGGGTGGGGGACTTGCCTACCTGTGTGAATCCTGGATTCAATAATCATATCACATCACCTTACCTTACCACACACACAAGAGGATAAGGTTCTCTAACACAGTCATGGTAAAAAAAATAAAGAGCTTAAAAATGGAGTTACCCAAATGCTATTTATCTATCTAGATTCTGAATAGACTTCCTTGTCTAAGTGAAGGGACAGAGGTGATTCTCCAATAATACATTCTACTACCTGGTACATATACTGAATCATATATTTTAAGTTTCCTAGGTGGATATGAATGATCTAAGTTCTCCAACAGGCTTGTGCTCTTAGAAAGTTGTGCAGGTGATCAGAACAAACAATGCAGAACAAAACTTGAGAACCATCAGCTCAAATTTCAATCTTAACAGCACCAACCCTACTCATTTCTAGGAAAGAAAATCTAAATGACCCATATGGATGAATGGGCTGCAGTCTGGAGGCAGGCTACCCCTTTCCAACAATGAGTGAGAGGTGGAGAGAGAAAAGCTATGTGTACAAAGCAAACTGAATAATGTCTCTACTACAATTAGAATAAGTCAATATGACCTAGAACATTCACCTGAACATTCTCAAATCTGTGAAAGAATTCAAGATAAAAACATTTATTTAAACAAAGGGGCTGAGGTTGTGGCTCAGTGGCAGAGCACTCGACTGGCAGGTGTGAGGCACTGAGCTCGATCCTCAGCACCAGGTATAAATAAATAAAAAATAAAGGTATATCAACAACTAAAAAACATTTTTTAAAAAAACATGTTGTTTACAAAAACTGTACCTAAAAGCCCTATACTTGCATTGCTGGAACATCGACCTCTCCAGGGCTTTCAGTCCCTACCTAAACCTCAGAGGAGTTCTGGAGCTGCCAGCTGGCAGACTGCAGCCATGCTCTCCTCAGGCCTGGACTACTGTCATTATATGGGTCCCCTCTCTCTAGGGCCATATCATCCTCAAGTGGCAGGCACTGATCCTTAGCTCTGAACTCCAGGGCTACACATCACATACTGCTTCTCTGGACAAACACCATGGTTTACAAGTCCATTTTTCTCTGCAGACCCTTACTGTTATATTCTCACCACTGACCCAAAGCCTGACCACCTAGGCTCAGTGCTGCGGCTTCCTTTTTCTCTTTCCTAAGCCACCTACCAGGGCTTTGCTTCTCTATGAAATGGTTAGCAGGTCTAAAATTTCATGGAGCAGAATCAGGAATCATAGAATACTGAGTTGGAGATATCTCAGGAATGAACAAGTTCAAAGAAAGAGTAGTATCAAATTCTAATTCATCAAACTAAGAGATTATAGAGGCCATATATTTATACATTTTATGGGCAATGTACTATTTAAATATTCTGAAGCCTTTAAAAAAGATAACGGGGAAAGATGATCAAGATATAGTGTTGAGCGTAAAAGTAGATTCTTATACACAATGGAGTTCTTTATTTTAAAAAAAAATTTAATAATTATTTTTTAGTTTTTGGTGGACACAACATTTTTTTTTTAATTTTATTTTTATGTGGTGCTGAGGATTGAACCCAGTGCCTCGTGTATGCCAGGCGAGCGTGCTACCACTTGAGTCACATCCCCAGCCTCCACAATGGAGTTCTATTCAGCCATAAAGAATGAAATTATGATAAATGGATAGAACTGGGGAACATCATGCTAAGTGAAATAAGCCAGATCCAAAAAGTCATACTCAAATATTTTCTTTCATATGCTTAAGATAGAAA